GGGGCAACTGGCATCGCTTGGGAGGAGGAATTCGTGTGTGCGGCAGGGTCGGAAGTTGGCTGTGTCGATGGTACGTGGAGTGCGGAGGCGGGAAGTCCGGTGGGCAGCGGCACAGCCGGGGGAGGCACCTGCGCGGTAATGGGCGCTACCCTCAAATTCGAACTAACAGCAGGGAGAGTGGTCGCCCATTGCGAACTCGAAGTGTTTGGGCTAGCTGTGGACAGAGACTGAGATGCCGAATCAGGGTCAGAGGGATCAGTGCGACGAGGCATGACTCTGCCACACGTGGGACACTTTGCGCCAGAAAACACGTATACATTCGGCCCCATCTCCATCGAGCTCGCAGGGTTAGGCGTTCGATAGTTAGGCGTATGATAAACAGTGGCGGTGGGAGTGCGCACGCCGCACTTGTTGTAGCAGGGTCGGGCGTCGTTTCCTTCTTCGCTTCAGAAACGAGCTTGGGTGTTTCGAGTGACGAAGTTGATCCCTGCTGCTGTTTCTTCGCCTTTTCTTTCTTGCGCTGGCGAGATTTGGTCTGCTTCTCACGTTCTACTTGCGCTGCTGCTTGCGCTTGCTTAGAAAGCTTGATTTGTCTGCCAGATCTCGTTGTCACCGTAAGGTTTATCGGAATTTCCACTGGTGACCGAGCTGTAATCCAAGGAAATAAATCGCCGACCCAAAATCGTTATCTCAGAGAAAACTCACGCCGGTGTCGCTCAAGGGTATCGTGAATACGAAAGCAGGACTCCGCAGCAAAAGGCAAGTCGTGGCTCATTTTGAAGTCTGACGGAAAGAGGTCAGAAGGACATTTAGAGTGCTGAACGAGCCACGCAACCATATCCAAAAGCAAAATCCTCAATATCAAGGTTGGCAGCTCCACGATCGCGCATGTTATCAATTGCCGCACTTGCTATACTATCCATAAGCTGGGTGTGGGCTTCATAGAAAGTGTTCGTAATGATCGTCAAAAGCTAGAGGGAGCAGTCACGTCCGAAGCTCTCGATACTCTTTATCATGGTTCTTACCACAGGTATATCGCTTCCCGCAGTTGACATGCCAAAACGCGCACGAAAGTATTCCGTAGCCCACCTGTGCACATCCGTGAAATTGTCGAGCAGCTGGGGACCAAGTTGACGAGATGGTTCAATAGGGGGATCTTGGGGGTGATCGCGATTGGCAAGCAACTCCATGGCCCCCTGTATGAATTGAGAGGGCTCATTAAGCTGGAGAACCGTCAGATGCGTGTTTATGTGACATGAACAGAAAGAACTTACCGATATATTAACCCTCCGACCAAGCGGCAGAGCAATTTGCCTGTTGGCATAATCCTGGAGAATAGACCGAGTGTGTGCAACCCATTGCTCGGTCGACTGGAGGAGAAGTCATGACATGCAATGATTGGACGGAGCACCACGACTCACGGAAAACTCGGGGATGGATATAATAGATCTTCATCATTCAGCTCTTCCAGTGGACAGCGAACTGAGGTTCAGCTGAACCTTTTCCAGAGGAAGGTTGCTCTTCTGGCAGAGCTTTCCCTTGCCCTTTGCAGCAGCAGAGTACCTCCCATTGGTATTCTCTTAAGCGGAGATAAATCCTGAAGTGCAGGCTGTAACAACGCTGGGGTAATAATTGACGGTAAACTCTGAGTGGATGATGAGTTTTTGCTACCAGGCGAGACCTCGAGCAGTTGGTCAGGAAGAATAGTGGAGGATACGTTATCGTTGGTGCCACAATCATCAATTAGGGCTGGCGTTGTGACGTCTGAGGGATTGTAGAAGAGATGTGAATCGTGCTTGTGATAGGCGGTGCGATGCAGGATTGACGATGGGCTGGTGTCCCTCATCCTTATCATTGAGAGAAGGAGTTGATCGTGATGAGACAGCTGATGCAATATCTACCTGTGAGGCAGCGGCCAACCCCAGGAAGTCTTACACGCATATGGTGATATTATCGATACCGGAAGTGAGTGGTTCTGCCTGATGAATGGAAACTGGCACGTAAGAGAGACGGAAGAGCGCTGTTGATGTTTATCCTCATCCTTCGGTCAAAATACCTGTGGAGATTGTTCTCAGATGTCAAAGCAGCAAATAGGTGGTTGCTGCTTTAAAACAAGATGCGAGACCTTGATTCGGCGTGAAAGGGAGTGTCAGACAAAGGGAGGATAGGTTACAGAAAGACTGTCACCATTAATGCCAGTTTCATTGTATCTGCATCGCATGGTTGCGATAGTTTAAACTATAGTTGACTACACCTGAAGTTCGTAAATTTGAACATGAGTAACTTTTTAAAAGTCGTCGTACACGTAAGACTAGATTACAAACAAGTTGCCGTAAGCAGTCAATAAGCGCCCACTGTAAAGTCGGAGTTTACTAATTCGAATGGCATCAACCTCTAACCTGTTAATATGTCCCAACACCTTGTCCGACTGCTACATATCGAAGCTAAAACTCACCCCCTCATGGGAGGAGTCCTTGCCGTTTGCTTGTCTTTGTGATACTTGATCTGGATTCAATGGTCAATGCAGGTCAACTTGTCAAGTGCCCAGCGAAGCAAGCGCATTTCAATCGTCACGATGATCTGTATCCATAGAACTTGAACGTCCACGACTATATGCTTCATTAGCGTATGGTGTGTGGTCATTAATAGGTGAGTAGGCCTGTTTATTCTGGAACCGAATGGGCTATCGTTTTCACTACCTGCTATATCATATATTACCCTTCTTTCTTTCTTTATTTGAACAGCTTAGGCGAACCAAGTGCTATTCACCTTGTAGCGGTCGTTGGCGTTGGTTTACCCGCCTCATCAGCGTGTTTTGATATGGTCTGGCCACTGGTGTCTTCTTGCGGTCCAGAGCTCCTTCCCGCAGACCGAGACTCGGCCCTTGAACGCTCAGAACGTCCGTCCCCCTGCGCCTGATATCCTTCGTATTCCACCCCAGAGAACTGTATCCAGACCAAGCATAGAAACGTAGCTGTGATCTCTCGTCAGCATTACTCAAACCTCCGTACCGCCCCGTAGCTCAGCACACCCACTTCCAATCACTCCCTCTTCTATCTCGCTTCCAGTCGGTCGTTCACACAAAGACGCGCAAGCCTATGTGTCAATTAAAGCGTTTCATCTTGATTGGAATTGCTATGAGAATGCAATTTAAGTAAGGTTTGTCTAAGGTACTACTTCAACTACTATACCTTCCGAATTAGGCGGCTCTGTTGATAATCGCGGATCTTGAATTTGGCACAACAATCTCACAGTGATCCATGAAAGGACCTGCCTTTGGACTACTCTGGATAGTCTAGCGACGGCTGACCACGTCAAAGGACACCGAACCTGGGGTAGTTCTAGAGTCTAGGAGCTGTCATCATCCTGACTTGTATTTTTCCCAGTGAAATATCGTACCACTGCCAGATAGTCTCCCAAATTCTCACATGCTCTTTCATGCCCACTGACGCAACGTGGTTGTCAAGAAGTTCATCCATTTATTTTTAGCTTTAAACGAGTAGATTCGCACTGGTACCGGTACCGCGACATAGCCTCACGACTTAGCGGATGTCAACTCGGATCTCCTCCTACCGTCCTGTACTAGCCTGTACCTTGAGTAAGTTACCGGTAGCCCAATCAATTACCAGGTAATACTATCAGCCCAGATGGTTGTTCCCAACGTTCACAGCCAATGCCCGATCAACAACCCCATCATGATGGTATCCTCATGTCAGTGACCGGAACAGTATAGCACAGGTTAGCTGAAAAGTGGAGAATGCTACATAAGTCGTGTTTTCTGCGCCTGCGTTTGCTGTCGTGGTTCTCCCGCTTTCCTCGTCCTAATACACTTTTCGATTCTTCCGTCTTGTGATTCTTTCTTTAAACTTATAGGTGCAGGCCATCTTCCTTTAGGACATCATCTATAGACTGTATACCAGTCACGGTCATGATCTTCTGGATCTCGTTCTCCAATGTTCTTCATTTCACTCGTCATGAGAGAAGAGGGCATCTCATTCCAGAGGGTTTCGTCCTCGAAACCCCTCCAGAGCGCAAACCTACGCCACTCCAGTTTACGCCGGAGTCTCCAACATTCTACTCAATACCTCCCATCATCCCCCAATCACCAATGCTCCCGCCCGCGTCTCTCGGCCTGGATACAACCTTGGGGCCTGTCATTCTGATAGGAAATGATAGCACGGAAACCCTCGTCAACGTTATTACACAGCCCGTGTTTCCAACGCCTATTCTACAACACCACCCGCGCACTCACGAGACTTTGCCAACACGACGCATCTCGTTCGCAGTTTGTGCCACACCAGAGCGTTCTGTGAAGCCCCCCAGTGTAATTGATGTGGATCAGGTACCGTGCAAGCCCTGCGCGGCTGCGGGGGAAACATCTGAGCAAGGAGAATATTTCAAGGAGAACGTACCTGAGGTGGAAAAAATATCAAGGAGGAAGAGCATCGCGCGAGCTTTGTCCTTGCGTGGGTCGCGTACATCTCGCACAAAGGCACACCGCTTCTCGGTCCCTGTCTTTACCTCGCTGACGGATGCCCTGAGTAAACGGGCAAGCAAGAGGCTATAGACCGCCCAATCCAGGGGGTCGGAAGGGCAAAAGGACGCGGATGCCACGATAACTCTGGAAATGAATCTATGCAAACCCGAGAGTGAGGCGCTGAGGGACATCGAATGAGGGCATGGCACTGATGTTTATATGTTGTTTGGCATTACACATGCATTCAATCACCGCTATCCTATGGTATCTGTAATTCTGGCTTAGCCTTAATTAATACTTAGACCTATGCATGTTTTGTGGCGGCGAAGGATACACAGGAATATATTCATATGATATTGCGAATACCTTGATTAGATACATTATCTACACAATCGTTTGGTGTATACAATGTAAAATCTATGCCAAGACACTAATCCTATGCTATGGCGTAGTCGTTGGAATGGCACAGAGGAAATATGATATACATGATGGGCAAGCGAAACGTTGATGATACGAGGTGCATTTATGTTTGCATCACGGATGCGCATATCGACTGCTGTTCCGTATTCGCTCCCCATAACGCCACAATATCCAGGGTCTGCAGGCACGATCAGCGAGGATGACAATGGAAGGAAGAAGAACGGAGTCATACGCGGGACAGCCTAACACGAATGCTGCGACTGCAAGGATGGTATCGCCCTTCCCGAATCCGAGTGCGCTGTACATCGCTGGAGCAAATAACGGAAATCCAAAGCCTGCCAGTGCCCGCAGACAGCAGGCGGCGGCCAGCGCTAAACACAAGGCATGAGATAGGTGCGACGGTACAGGAGAAAAAATGTACCGGAAGCTGCGTGAAGCGTGAAGCAATCAACAATGTAAGTGTGTACAGACTGGATATTCAGAGTAATGCCTGCTCCCGCAAGTACTATGCCCTGTCAAAGCGTCAGCGGAGAAACGATTTTAAAAGCGAAACTAACTATATCTGGAACTATCCAATGTGCTTGTGCTTGTGCAGCCCAGCCTAAAATCAAGCACCCTATCATAAATAGCAGAGTGCCGGGAAACATAGGAGCTGACGACGCGTTGGATGATTAAGGAAGAAGAGAAAGTAATCATAACGAACGCAATCTGAATTCTGGCTTTCCAACTCCACCTTTCTTGCTCTTCAAATAAAGATAGACCTTGTCTAGTATACTCGCGTTTGAACAAGACGCCCCCACCAACCCTATGCCCAGCGCGATGTAATGAAGGCCGGCGATCCCTACCGACTGCTGGTATACACCCTGAAAGATCGATGGTATGGTCGTCAAAATGACTGAGATGTTTTCAGATCACATCCCCGAAAAAAACAGGTGACTTACTATAAAGTGACCCGTATAAGTACGCCATGTAAACGGCCGAGTACCTGGACGATTGGTTCGCAGAAAAAGAGTGCGAAAGGGCGAATGAGTGCTTTGGCCATGATGGTATGCCAGCTGTATGGAACATCTTCGTCAAATATCATTTCACTAGGAATTGTAAAAAGACTTTCGAGCGATCTTGGCCTGTCAAACACTGTGCGGATTTCTCCGTAAGGCACTTTTTCGGCATCCATCGATCTGCGGATGCGCTCTGCTTTCCTTTCCAACAAGATAGGCGCGTAAGCTAGATAAAAATCAACAAGGATGAATAAATTGCGGCTAGTCATCACTCACTCTCTCGAAGGCAAAACACTCCAAGGATTTGAATGACTGCATCAGCAATGGACGTAGACCAAAACTATCGAAGAAAAGGTAGCGGTTCGCGATTGGTGGAAGGACCACCTACCACCCATCTCCAGCTAGAGCGTTCGGCAATCCTGGGGAAAATTTAGATAAGATCATTTGGCTCGGAACAGTCACCAACCAAGCGCCTGTGATCGGTCCCACAGGAAGCCCCCAACAGCGGAGCCAAGGAGTAAAACGCGAAGGCTTTTCCTCTCTCTTCTGGTCGCCAGCAATCACCAAGAAGACCGCCGCCGACCTGAGGGGAGAAGCTATTCAGATCGAATATTTTGTAGTTGACGAATTTAAACCTTACAGACGTGGGCGCACCGCCTCCCATTCCAGCGAGGAATCGGAAAACAAGGAGCTGGGATTCTGTCTGTGCAAACCCACATCCAAAATTCCATGCTACCAATTCATTTCAAGAATCGAGATAAAAACATAGATCAGCTGGTATAGACCACATACCAAGATACCATAGATTTGCCACTTGCAAAACGCGTGACCGGCCGTAAAGCTCACTCATTGGGCCCACAAACAAGGGCCCGAACGCTGGTATGTGATTTGGTAGATCAGTAGAGTATTTAGCATATGTGAAATTCGCCTACCAAACGCAAGCACAAAAATGGAGGTTGTGAGTGCATTTATGACGTCGTTGTCAATCCCGAATGTAGAAGCCACTTGGCCAGTCGCGGGAGCGATCATGGAGGAAGAAACTGGACCCATAAAAGAAAACGATGCTACGATTGCGGTCGCAGCCCATTTGCGTTTTAAGCTCCAACTGTGCGGAACTGTAAGAAACATGCTACGCTGTCCGCGCGACGCACTTTTTAGGATTCTGGGAGTCATTTGGACCGTCCCAGTCAACGATCAAGACAGTGTCATTGCTATACGGCTTCTCAAAATTGAACTGGACTGGAACATCAATGAGTTGTGGCGCGTGACCACGTTGTAAGGTTGGCAGTGTCAGAGACACTAGACTATCGTCAGTCATTGACGTAGGGGACTGTTTTGTGCCGGACATGTCGAGGTCACGGAGTGCAAGTGATGTCCTCACATCTTCCTAACCTCTTACTTATAGGCAAAAATAAGAGCCGTGTAATTACGGGGACAAGTAGCCCCATCCCAGCGTTTTCTATCGACCCTGTCGTCCACGGGCATTCCAGTATTCCTATTAAGTAGTATCTGAGTATCGGGACTCGGAATCATGATTATATGTTCCGCGAAGAAGCATATCATGATAACCAAAACCAATGACAAACCGCTGATACATGACCGACACTCACCGACGTGGACACCGCTGAAAAAGGCTTGCAGCAAGGATCTGACCCGAAACCCTTTGAGTATCAGCTGGTGTGTGAATTGAGGTAAGCCTGTCCCTTGGGACTAATATTCCGTCAACTGTATTTTCCGCAGCCCAGCAGTAATTTCGTCCGTTGTCCCCAGTTTTGCGTGACATGGTTCATTCACCGCTATGGCCGCATGCCGCTGCTGTCAGCTGAGAATTCGAACAGAATCAAAGAGAATCAACTACTGGCAAGTAATTTTAAGCAAATACAGGCCGGCGTTAATGCCTAATTAGAATAGCCAACAAGGTACAGGCGAAGAATAAACGAAGAGCGCTCCGGGCGGAAGCTCCGAAGGGGCAATCCGGCCCCGATAGCGCCCCCGATCTGTGCAAGAGTGAGCCTGAGTAAGCCGAGCTGCGAGGGCAGGTGGGCCACCTCGCAGCCCCAGACCCAGCAGGTTCGGGTACCGACTACCCGGACCCCAGTAGTAGTAGTAGTAGTAGTAGTAGTAGTAGTAGTAGTAGTAGGAAGGTGATTAGGTAGCTAAGTACCAAGAGTATCAGGTGGGAAGTTATAATGTAGGCTGCAAGGATCCAAGCGACAGCGAAGGAATTTCAAAGGGAGTGGTGGGTGGGGAAAAGAAATAACTGAAGGCGGCAGGTAGCAGGTAGGCTGAAGCTTGCTACTGACATGCAGAGGACTACGACCAGGACTCCAGCCACTGTGCCAGGACCCCGGCACCCTGCTCCAGACCCCATCGCTTCGGGGTAGAATTCCCAACTTCTTTCGCGAGTGCAACCCCGAATCAACCCCCAAATTGTACAACAGACGGCACTGCAGGTAATAGCCTAGGAATGGGATGATGTGTTGTTTAGTATGTCACTATAGGCTCACCATAGCCTGGGGTGTGCGAATAAAGGCGAATTTGAACGTGTCTACATTTTATTATCTACACAATCGTTTGGTATATACAACATCAAAGTTATGTCAAAACAAGACAATAAATAATCTTATGGCAGGTATGGAACAGGGAAAATATGATACACACGATGGGCATGCGAAACGTCTATCATACAACGCGCACCTAGGTTTACTAATCACGATTGCGCATATCGACTGCCGTTGCGTATTCGCTCCCCATAATACCAAAATATCCAGGGTCTGCAGGCACAATCAGTAAGGATGATGATGGAAAGTTTAAGAACGGAGACGTACGCGGGACAGCCAATCACGATTGCTACGGCTGCAAGAATGGTATCTCCCTTGCCGAAACCGAGTGCGCCATACATTGCTGGAGCGAATAAGGGAAATCCGAAGCCTGCTAGTGACCGCAGGCAGCAGACGGCGGCCAGCGCTGAGCACAGAAGGCGTGAGATAGATGCGATGGAACGCAAGAAAAAGTGTACCGGAAGCGGCATGAAGCGTAAAGCAATCAACAACGTAGGCCTGTATACACTGGAAACTGATAAAGGAGCCTGCTCCTACAAGCAAGATGCCCTGTCGAAGTGTCAGTAGATAAACGGCTTAACAGAGTAAAACTAACTATATCTGGAAATATCCAATGAGTACGGGCTTGAGCAGTCCAGCCTGCAATCAAACACCCTATTGGAAGTAGCAGAGTTCCGGGAAACATGGCAACTAATGACGCATTTAACGCTCAAGGAAGAAGAGAAAATATTCATGACGAACGCAATCTGAATTCCGGCTTTCCAACTCCACCATTCTTGTTCTTGAAATAAACATAAACCTTGTCCAGCGTTCTCGCGTTTACTTGTGCCGCCACCATCAACCCTGCGCCAAGTGCGATGTAATGAAGGCCGGCAATTCCTACTGGCTGCTGGTATACACCCTGAAATATCGATGGTATGGTCGTCAGAAAGACTGAGGTGGACTTTGTTAGAGCACATCCACGGAAAACAAAAATGACTTGCGATAATGTGTCCCGTATAAGTACGCCATGTAAACACCGAGTATCTGCACGATCGGTTCGCGGAAAAAGAGCGCGAAAGGGCGAACGAGTGCTTTGCCCATGATTGTCTGCCAGCTATAGAATATATCTTCATTAAATGTTATCTCGGTGGAATTATATATGACTTACGAGCGATCTTGACCATCGAAAACCGTGCGGATTTCTCTGTACGGCGCTTTTTCGGCATCCATCGATCTGCGAATGCGCTCTGCTTTCCTTTCCAACAAAAGGGGCGCGTAAGCTAGACAAAGTCAATAAAAATGAATAAGTCGCGACCGGTCAATGGCTCACTCTCTTGGAGCAAGAAAACTCCGAGAATTTGAACAGCTGCATCAATAATCGATGTAGACCAAAACTATCGGAGAAATGGTAGCGATCCACGATTGGTGGAGGAATCACATACCACCCATCGCCAGGTAGAGCGTTCGGCAATCCTGCAGAGGATTCAGATAGGGTCATTGGACTTGGAACAGCCACCAACCAGGCACCTGTGAGAGGCCCTATGCCAGCTCCCAACATCGGCGCTAGAGAGTAAAGAGCGAGCGCTCTTCCTCTTTCTTCTGGTCGCCAGCAATCACCAAGAACACCGCCGCCAATCTGAAGAGGAAAACCAGTCAGATCAAATACTTGTAGTCAACGATGTTTAACCTTACAGATAATGGCGCGCTGCCTCCAAGGCCAGCAAGGAATCGGAAGGCAAGAAGCTGGGATTCTGTCTGTGCAAATCCACAAGCAAGATTCCATGCTATCATTTCGATTCAAGAATGGTATAGAGCAGCTTTTGAAGATCACATACCAAGATACCATAAATTTGACAATTGCAACACGCGTGAGCGACCGTAAATCTCACTCATTGGGCCCACAAACAAGGGCCCGAACGCTGGTATGTGATTCTTTAGATCAGTTAGGTCTCTAGCATCCGTCAAATTTGCCTACCGTACGCAAGCACAAAGATTGATGTTGTGAGTGCATTTATGGCGTCGTTGTCAATCCCGAATGTAGAAGCCACTTGGCCAGTCGCGGGAGCGATCATGGAGGAAGAAACTGGACTCATAAAAGAAAACGATGCTACAATCAGGGTCGCAGCCCATTTGCGGTTCGCGCTCCAGCTGTGCAGAACTATAAGAAACATCCTGCTCTGCCCATGCAACGCACTTTTTAGGATTCTGGGAGTCATTTGGACCGTCCCAGTCAACGATCAAGACAGTGTCATTGCTATACGGCTGCTCAAAATTGCACTGGACTGGAACATCGACGAGTTTTAGGGTGTGTTCGCCTTGTAATGTCGGTGTCAGAGACGCGGAGTCTTCTAGACTGTCGTTAGTCGCGGATGCAGGAGACTGGCTTGTGTCGGACATGCCAAGAGCACTGGAGTGCGAGTGATATCCTCATGGTTACCCCTTGCAGTCCTCTTACTTATAAGTAAGCAGGAGCGGTGTAATTACGAGGACGAGTAACCCAAACCGAATAAGTTCGAACCCTGTGGCACCAAGCTTCCTATAGACCATTTCGTCCGCGTACATTCCAGTCGAGACTGGACAACTGTGGGACCAATCAATTAAACAACCCTAAAATAAACGTGGAGAAGGATGTCAGGATGACCGGTATAGCTGATGCTCACCAACGGAAAAGGTAGCGAAGATGTTCATTGTTTCATATGGCTTCCACGTCAATCTTCCACGTCAATCTTCCATGTCAATCAACGCTACACGTTCTCGGCGACCACACCTATGGTTCAGCCTGTTGCAGCAAGGTTCTGACCCGAAACTCTTTAAACACAGGTGTGTGAATGTTGAAGCAAGGCCCGGCTCTTGAAAATATTCCATCAAGTATTTTCTGCCACACGAAGAGTCTCGTCCGTGGTCACCAGCCGCCTGTTTCGCGTGACGTGGGATCAAAGTTCATTGATCGGCGCAATACAATGTTGTGATACCCATTGTTAAGGCAGCTGGTCATGAGGTAGGGCCAAGGAGTTGCACGCCAAGACTCCTTCCCACCACTAGGCTGGAGAGGTTGAGGGCACTCTCCGTTGTCCGATGGCAACTTAGAGATAACAAGCACTGGCAGTAGTAGAAGTAGTGTTATTATTAGAATGGCGCGGCAAGTCTCACGTATGAATTCAAACTTTATCGATATATCTTTATGCATGCCGCTTGTTCGACGAGAAGCGAGACTCTTCCGCTGCACCAGACCTCAATAATTGACGACGTGAACGAGGCGCAGAACAATAAGCTGAATGCATGCCATTTTCGTGACAGAAGGTGGATGACGTACCCTAGATGCGACCATCCGGATGTTCTATGTATGTTGAACTAGCATCCCAACGCGAACAGGACATAATCCATCCAGCCTACAGACCGAAGGCGATTGCGGTACTAATGCCATTAGTTAGAAGTCGGCGGTGAACTATGAGGTGGCGAACACTTACACTCTCTCAGATGTGGCCCGCAGCGTGCGTCAAAAACTGCTGCGGCACAAGTTAGACCCTTTACAATGGCCACGGGAGTTATATTGTCGATTAAGACGTATCAGTAACCTGGCTACAGACTTGCGACGATGGAGGTTTGGAACGAACAACCTTGTGGTCAGGGCGTTCAATGAGGTAATTGAGCGCTGAGAGCTCCACTGCGCAGTTTAGAGAAATACCCACAGTCCCCAATCATGCTCGGTACCATCAAATCCAAATGGCGGAAGCAACGCAGACGACCATTCCGACCACCTCGCCCATTAAATGTTTTGAGCATTCGAAGATCGTGAAAACACTGTACTCGGAGTTGCAGTCTTCCCTGGTAGACGGTGTATGGCATGGTCACAGGTTCGTATAAAAAAGATGGTGATTTCGCCTGTGGGACTTTAGCACTGTCCTGGCGGCTGGTTCATGGGGAAAACGACCAAGCTGTACTGAACACAGACACGTGGCAGCTGCATCAGTGAACCCGTGAGGAAAGTAGAAGGCCATAAATTACAACGAGCCCACACCCGTTGTGCCTTCGGCACAGGAAGCAACTTCACAAACTTAATAATTAACAATTGATAATCATAGCAGAATTTTGAAAATTTTGAAATAAATTACATTTTTGAGCAGTATTCAGGATTTTGACAAAAGTAAAGGTACAATCTACTACACAACATAAAAGTACATAATATGTAAATCAATCAGCAATAGAATCAGTCAGTCCTCTAAGTACTTCTGTATACACAACATTGGTTGTCTTTGTGCCTTCTTCATGCTCTGGGAAAATAGCAAACACTCTCTCTGGATGAGTGCAGCGAGACAAAGCCACATAAAGCTGTCCATGACTGAAGACAGGAGTACGCAAATCAAGGCCAACCCACTTGACACTCTGACCTTGAGCCTTGTTGATTGTCATGGAAAATGCAAGACGAACGGGGAATTGAAGCCAGCTTGAGAGGAATGGGGTTTTCTTCAGAACTCGCCTCCAGAGTCATCCGAGGAATCAGCACGGTGTTCTGATCTTGATGCCGAGCTTCATCATTTCCATCCCTAAGAATGTGACACCTGAGGACGCTGCGTGGTCCAAGACAGGAGGATCATGCGAGTTCCATTATAGAGTCCCTGTGAGGGGTCCAAGTTGCGCAAGAGCATCAGAGGAACGCCTGCTTTGACCTCTAATCTGTGCAAAGGAAAGCCTGATGGGGTGAGGGTATGAAGGAACTCTGCGGGGATGTAGTCGTAGTCTTTCTCAGTGACTGAGTCTGCGCTGGTGAAGACTGCCTTTTCTCCAGGGAATAATTGAAGAATTGTGGTATTGATTTCATCCACATCGGTGTTCTTTGCAGAGAGGATGGTGCGAATCGAGGAAGTAGGAATCATTCAAGGGAGGATGGTTAGGGAGCAGAATTTCAGAGTACAGGGCATTGATGAGAGACTGCACATTATTGTTGCCACAGCGTGCAATGGGGAGGGTCACTGTGCCATCTCCATCTGTGCCCTTACCAGCTCCGATCTCAAGGAGCACCTGCGCAAATCGATCAGGAATCAGGATCTTGACCCAGACGCATATTTCTCTTGAGGTGGAAGATATGAACCTTGGGCCAGAGGCGAGATCTGCAAAAGGTAGCACCCACTATCTGCTCCCTGGATCCATGAGGCACCACCGGCAGTGTCTGTCTGAAGTCTCCTCCAAAGAGCATGGTTATTCCTCCAAAGTCAGCATCGACGTTCAGAAGATCGCGCAACGTGCGATCAAGGCATTCCAGGTTGTGACGGTGTAGCATAGGAATTTCGTCGCAGATGATTAGACAGGTGGCCTTGAGAAGCTCATGGACAACATCTCCTTTATTGATGTTACATGAGCTATCCTCATGAATGGGAATGGGGATCTTGAATCGCGAATGAGCTGTACGTCCGCCTGGCAGGAGGAGAGAAGCGATTCCAGAGGAAGCCACGCATAGGACGATCTTGCCTTCAGCACTGGATTTTTGAAGCGATGAGTTTGCAGAGATATGTCTTGCCACATCCACCTGCACTATGGACGAAGTATGTATGTCCAGGTCTTTGGTCATTACGATGCATTGCATCATCAACCACTGCATCAAAGACCGCCCTCTGCTCTTCATTGAGAGAAGGAACTCCTCTATCCACTATCGCCTGAAGATCCTCTGGGTCATACTGGAGTTGCTCAGCAATCAGCTGGTTGCCCTCAATGGCCCCCCATCTTGCTGCCATTTGAGGTACTGGCATGTGAGGAATGGCTTCCAAAGACTTTCCATTTTTGCGAAGCACATTATCGATGAGATAGAGACCGTAGTCATGAATGTCGTGTTCAGTAGGGTTGGGCATGTTATATGGATTGCGAGTGAGACGGGGGCGCAGATCATCACAGAGATTGTCCTTGAAGCGGTTCCAAAGCTCTTGAGGGCTTGTAGGGTTGCAGTGGAGGAGGATGATGGCGAAGAGATTACGCAGACCATATCCAGTGCGCATATGAGAGGCATCCTGCAAGCACTGGATCCATTCATTATCATCATCAAGCAGACCCCTTCGCTGACATGCATCCTTGAAAGTCTGGCAGAGAACACCATCGACAGTACGAAGGTGTTCATAGGAGGTAGCCCCTTTGAAAAACAAAACATGGTAAGTTTGATTGATAGAAATTGCTCCAGACATCATACCTTTTGTCACAGTCAAAAGCAATCTCAGATAGAAGCGCTCTCCAGAGCCAGGTGCAGCAGCATACATTCTTCCAATTGCTGCTCCATACTGGCGTGTCTTCCAGGCATTCTTGGTCCACACGAATTTTGAGGGAAAGTCTTGGTAGAGGTGGTCATGGGCTCCAGCTGCCACCAAGTCGGCATTGGCATTGGCTTTGAACCATCCAGTGAGGCAAGTCTCCTTGGCTGCTGCACTGCTCAAGAACGTCCTGGGCATCTTCTGCAGGGTCATAGACCACCATTTGTTCATTTGGGAGATGAACTGGCAAGCGGTAGACAGTGGGCCATTCATAATGCATGGAAAATTCAAAGATGCGCCATGCAGCCTCATTCGAGCTGATATATCTGGAGTCAAGATAGGATTTGACCTCATCCACCGCTCCTCTCATCTCCAAAGTGGCGCGGTCGTTTCCTTTGTAGATGTACTTGTGGATATATTTGACAGACTTGATAGATGCGCAGACTTCCAGGTTGATGTGGCAGTTGAATTCCACCAGCAGTTGTGGGGGGTGAGGAACAACATCTTTGTTGGTGAAGACATTGTCGTTCTTCTGGATGGTGCGGCCATTATCAGGTCTTGCATATTCTGGATAGCCGTCTTCCTTCATGGATGTCTGGGGACAGAATGACTTTGGAAAATGTTTTTTGCACCGTCCATTCTCCAAGCAACGCTGTGGAGTGCAAGGGCCATGAAGCATGTATTTTTCCACGGCCTCGTAGAGTTGGGGGTGAATGTTTCTATCAGGAATCTGGGCAGAGATGAATGAATCGATCTGTTCCACCTGTGCGTATCTTGTCATTTGGATCCAGGAAGATGAGGAGATGCATGTGAGGCAGACCACGTTTCTGATATTCGATGGTGTACACCAATCCTGCGACCTTTCCATAGTAGCCTTTGCGAACCTTCTTCAAGAGGGCCTGTTGTTTCTGATAGAATACTCGAGCCACCAAGTCTGGACGGTCCACAGCACTTTGGCCTGTATAAGTGATTGTCAGCAATGAAGTTATAAATAATGCGTTGAATATGAATTCTTACCTGGCAGGAGATTCTCAGTAATCTCAGGCCAACTCCCATTTGCAGTCATCGTCAGGAAGAGATCAGGCTTTTTGCAGGCACGGCAAATGGCCAAAGAGTCTTGAAGTAGCTGATGCATGTACCGAGGGCTCCCAGTATGAGAGGAGGGAAGAATGATGGAGCGACCTGTCTGAGCCAAATCATCCACGCCATCATTGAGCACATTGTCTGTCAAACCCCGGTAACAGTCTGCCCGGAGCCGCTTTTGGTTGTTCCGAACCCAGTTCAACTTACTCTGCTCAATGGATGCCCATGCATCAACCACATACTGCTGGAAAAGTCTTCCACCACGAAAAATGTTGTTGTGGTCCATGCGAATGGGGCGAGGATGAAGGCGATAGGCATAATACAGCAGCTGGGTGACTTTTTTTGAGCGTGTGGCACGTTCACCCTCTCTAACATTGAGAGGGATATCAGAATGCCAGCCCTCCTCGCCAGAAGGAAAGAGAAGGACGTAGTGAAGAGTTGCATATGCATGGCTAAGCTGGCTCATGCGCTGAAGTTGACCTCCTTGAAGTCGCAAGACGATATCGCGTTTGTCAGACACCTCTTCAGATCCATCTCCAGGAATAATCACAGCAATTTCATCGGCAGTGGGAAGATTATATCTTCGACCATCTGAGCCCTCCCGGAAGTGAATGCGTACACGAACATCTGTGTGCTGCTCTGGAGGCTTCTCTCGCATGACTTGATAGGCCTGTTTATAAAGAGGAGCATAGGGATGGCTTCGATACAGCATGTCATGGAGTGCTCTGAGAATATGACGATCAAGACCTTCATTTCCAGGTCGGTTGGCACGGATGTCGGTGGCTTCATCAGGATCATAGATATAAAGTTGCGCATAAGATGGCTGACGACCTTCTGGAGGCATAAGACTGCCCATGAGGTGATGGAGGGATCCATGGATACGAAAAGCATTTGGGCCAGAGCCTTGAAGAGCATTGTCCTCGATATTGATGCCCACTGATGTAAATGCAAGAGAGCTGTTGTACTGACGAATCTTGGAGACAAATGTTCGGTCTGTATACGCCTGCTGCTAGCTCGGGTGGCCATGCTGGAAAGGGTGGAAGGCTGACTTTGCCCTGCAAGCAGCACATACCAAAGTGTGGATTTCGTAAAGAGGAGTCGGAGAGTCTTTCACATGCAAAGTGCCTTGCATGGCAGTTGGGACACTCTACATCAAGGGGACCAAGAGTATGACGGGCAATAGGCTCTGCATATGGTCGACCTCCACCATGGATAGGAAGATTCTGAGCAGGTGCCTGGTTGGCATGCTCCTCATCTTCTGCCTCAGATCGTTGGCGATCTTCCTGCTGCTGATTTCTCCTTCTTTCCTCATCATCATCATGCTGTTCTTGAGATGCTGGATCATTATATTCATGTAGTGCTACTTCTAGATGCTCTTCTGCCTGTTGACATGCTCGCAGAAGATCCTGCTGACGATCTCTTCGGAGCTGCTGCTGGCGAACAAATTCCAGATTGTCAAGATATACTCGCTGAGCTCTCTGCTGTTGCAAGTGAAAGGCCTCTTGATCCTGTCTACGAATACGCTCAGCTTCTTGCTGCCGTAATTGCCGCTGAAGCTGTTCCCGATGCAATGCCTCCTGTGCTTGTCTATGAAGCAATTCATTTCTAATCCTCTCGTTTTCTATTTCCTCTGCCTGTAAATGGTGTTGAAACTGAATATTGAATGGTTGATAATCTGGTTGAGGCGGTGTGGGTAATGGTGGTGCAGGGTTAGGAGCAAAGTAGCGGAGAGGATTTTCAAAGTTGTGAGGACCAACTGCACCCTCATAATGAATAGGGCCATACATGGGAGGGGCAGGAGGAATTACAGGTTCGTTAGGGATGTGAGGTTGCTGTGGCGGCTGCATCCCAGCTGCCATGAGCTCTGCCTGTGCCTGCTGTCTTATCTCATCTCTTTCCTGTTGCCGACGAAGATTATGCTGACGGCGTCTATCATTATGAGCTGCATTCATTTGCTCATTCAAGCGTGCATTATAATCAACCCGAGGAAGACGATGAGCATGAGCATGCTCCACATGTGCAATCGCATTTCGTGGCAAGCCGGGATACTGCCCAACTGGTAGAGGTTGATATGGAAAGTCAGGGGGAGGTTGCCATGCAAAAGGTCGTGGAACTGGCCCTGCTTGTGGAAAATTAGCTGGCATGAAATTTGGCTGTGGTACAGGAGGTGGAGGCCTGTCCTGAACAGCATGCCGACGATTGCGTCTACTGGGAGATGTCATTTGAAGTCGATTAAGTCTATCATGTTCGCATTGGGAGTGTCGATCACATTCTGGTGTTGTCTGTTGCAAATTTCTAAATGGTGCAAAGTGACATGCAGACATTAGCATCATGCACCTTATATGCATAGTCAGTGACTCATGGGACAGGTAGATTCTGATCCATGTTCACTATTTTTTATTTAAACAGTTGTTTAGCAAGTTCAAAATGAGTTGCCTGAACTCATTAATCAAGTCAGAATTGTTGCATGTTTCTATAATTGTTGTTGAATAAAAATGAAACCCACAAAAGGTGTATTACACTTTATTACACTTGGCTGCAGGGGAAGGCAATTTCACTCAAGAATGCAATTCAAAAGCAGCAGCCGAGTTGTGTAATCAATTGTGTAACCAAGGTTCTATTATTGCTTTTGCTAATCTCGATGTCAATTCCCCCATGGTAGGAAAGCTGTGTTGTTTGTCCGTGTTGTGCCCGGAGCGCAGTAGGCGTGGAGATTACTGTCCACTATATCGCATTTGGAAGGAATTTTGAACTCTGTAGAATTTAGCCTCTCGAAATCTCAATCTCACTTTTTTGAAGTTTTTTTCTCAACTCAACCGTTATTAGCAAGCTCAAGCGAGAAAACCACGCGAAATTTCTAAATCAAGGTTTAAGCGAGCTAAGCGTTCCCATGTGGCCTTTAGCGAGCTACGCGTCTCCCACACACAGCCACAAAACAGGTCTCCCATTCTTTTATGATATATAGTACATAATCACAAGAACTAGCGTAATTCTGCTATGGACCATCACATTGTTATGTTTGGCTTTATAGAGGAAAGACGCTTCCCTGATTTTCCTATAAAATTTTATGATCGAGAGAAGCACCTGATTTTACTCAAACTCCAAAGCATCAAATAATTGACCCGAAAATATAAAGGTTTACAATGCTTTGTCTAACCGTCAAATTTATATGGTATATGTCAGAATGATACTACTCGGAGTAAGTTAGACAGAACTACCAAAAGCGCCAGCATGACAGATTCCCCGCAACTACCTGCCATTTTATCACCAGCACCAAATAATTCTCAACCTCAAACACACATTTTATGAAGAAAATCAAATTTATTTATATTCAAATACATATGTAGTTACAGGACAAAAAAAGAAACAGGGAATGATAGCGAAGAGGGAATATCACAACATGAATGACAGAGCAGCCACAAGGGAGGGACTAAGGCCAGCGAGGAACCACAAGAAACGGCCAATGAGGAACCACGAGAAAAGGCCAGCAAGGAACCACGAAGAAAGGCCAGGGAAAGACCACCACGAACGGCCAGGAAGGAACCACGAGGAAAGGCCAGGGAGGGACCACCACGAATGGCCAGGGAGGAACCACGAGGAAAGGCCAGGGAGGGACCACCACGAACGGCCAGGGAGGAACCACAAGGAAAACCAGGGAGGGACCACCATGAACAGGAGGAACTTGAGAGGTGGTGGTAGTAGCGGTGAAACAAGATTGAAAGGAACTTAGCGTGAAAATTTCCGTCCTGCACAAACAAGGACAAACCAATTTCAACCACTTGCGCTGGTCACATGATTTGAGGTTATCCGATAATACTACAGTAAAATTTGAGGCTGAGGTGATGGTCATGTGCATGATCTTGGATGACATTGTAATTCATGCAATATTTGAATCAACTTATATAGATTTGTAAGTCAAATATAAATGAGGGAATATGATGTTGCTCGACAAACGGTACCTAATTACACAAATTCATGACCTTGTCGGAAATTCTCATAAGAATCTACATTAGGTTACAAGTGCTAATGGTCCTTTCCACGATAAAGTCTTATATCACTTGGTAGTTTAAAATATAAATGAAGGGATATGGTATGAGTCAACAAGTATGACTTAACGATGCTATTGCACATTGATCGCTGCGACGGTGCAATGTCGTTATCTTGTCGCGAACTCCTCATGGTAAAATGAATTTTCAGACATCTATGGCTATGTACTGATCACTAATATTTCTTGCCGTATACATAGGTATATTCAGCAGTAGCAAAATTATTTCACACTATATTTCTCACAGCTACCATATCACAGACTCATCAATTCACTGATGTGCAAGGACAACCGAGCAATTGTCCCGGTGGCCTGGGTGCACCAAGAGTCTAAATTACTGGCGTCGTGGCAAGTCTCAGGCAGCAAACGAATCCAACCAAGCAGCAGGCTCCTCCCCACCACTGCTGGAGAGGTAAGGGCGGTCTACTAGGGCAGTAGTACAATGCTTAGTAAACCGGAAACATGCGCAAATATTTCAAACCCAGCCCAACCTTATCCACCCAACCTCTCCACCAGCGGCTGGAACAAAATGTTTGTACTATCTGTTCCCGTACACTCAGCACCCCCAGAAGTCGGCAGTCACGCAAATGTCACTGTAAGTCACGACATGTCACATAGGCTGGTTTCAAAGTCAGCTTGGCAGTCAAGCAAGAGTGCAAGGTCAGTTAGTATTCGGCGTACTAAGCAAGCGAGTACAATATTTACTAGTAGAGTCTAAGTGCGAGGGTGACTGTGATTAGTGCTGTAGTTGTAAAATTGCGGGGGATGTGTAGGGAGACCATGTACATTATGTGGATGCTGAGGTTGTCTATCTAAGTTCGATGATGATGCAATTGGACTGCCGGATGGATTAAAGTTATGCTGTGTTGTAGAGTAAGATGGTGCATAGAGAGCTGGATTAGCATAGAATTGAGGAAAATATGGCTGATTGGTAAAATGTGGAGGATAAGCTGAATTGAAAGAATGTGTGGGAGCAGTGAAAAAATGATTACCAGAGGTGTTGGATGAGGTGGCGACGCCATTGACCTGTGACTTGGAGGTGCTACTACTGGCCTGTCCGGTTGATGATGCAGTGGCCGAATTCTTCGAACATGTTTTTCCCGTCTGGAAGAGTGCAGCAAAACGTGGATTGTCAGCAAGAAACTCTTTGATTCTAGTCCTGAGTTCCTCAACTGTTCCATCTCTCAAAATCTTGAGAGTGCCAGCGAGTGTGATAAAATCATCCTTGCGCCGGAGTGTTGAGAGTGCGTCAAATGTCTTCGACTTAATATCATGTTCAATCTGAGCATGGTGGACTTCATCTTCCGTCTTCTTTTTGGCTTGTTTCTCCACGTCAGCCTTGTCTTTTTCACGCCGTTCTTCCTCTGCTTTGTTGAAGTCCTCCTCGAGCTCTGGGTGTGTCATGAAACAGGCCCATAACTTGACAGATTTCCTCGGCTGCTTCTTTTTCTTGACATTCTCTAGCTCCAGTCAAGACTGAGCCAATGCCCGCTGCGCCATTGTACAGTGTGCATTTGTAGCATCGAGCTGGGCGGTCAGGATCTGGGTTGTCTGGACTAATGCCCCATTTTGCTCATACATGTGCTGGAGCTCGTACCACAGTTCCTCCTTCGTCAACATCATCGCCTGATTATACGTGGGGATAACTGGATGTGGGATGGAGCCTGATACTAGTGATGTTGAGTGGGTGATGCGGGTGTCGTTACGAGAGGGCTGCGCATCTTATTCCTCTTCCTCTGACTCTGAGTCGGAGCTCTTGGAGTCCAAGTCATGTTCATCATCAGCCATGGGAAAAAAATCGGTGTCATCCTCTGAATCCTCTTCTTCACTGTCGTCCAGTCTCATCAACTTGTCAACTTCATCAACATCAGAGGGAGCTGCCATTGGAGAAGAAGGGACGTCAGCAGGATATGATGGAGGAAGATGTGCAGTAGTTTGATAAACCAAGCTTGGTGTGAAATCCTTGTCTGTGAAGACTGACGGATCGAGAGGATAGATACCAGTTTTTTTAAATGCTTTCTGGACAAGTTCTGGAGTGATGACATGGTGAATGGCCATGTATTCATGAATAAAATTATAGCGATCAATTTCAACCCCGTCAGCAAGGTGCTTGTCACAATGTTTGGTCCAAGGACGCTGGACAGATGAAAACACGCCCACATCCAATGGTTGAATTTTGTGCGTGGTTTTTGATGGAAAGGCGTGGATTATGACACCATTATCATAAGCTGCCCTTTGGATAGCTCTTTGTTCATGCGAACTATGACCATCAACAGTCAGAACAATTGGCTTCTCAGGATCCACACAGTGTTTCTCCGCTGTAGGAACAAAGTGGTTCCTGAACCAATAATCCGCAATCTCGTGATCTGTCCATCCTGTCGGAGAGAAAGAAACACTGTTCAAGGAGATCACAGGATTAGTAGAGCATAATGCTATGCTTCGATAAGTACTTACCCGCCCACTTTATCTTTCAGATCTCGAATATCTGGGGCTGGACCTTCTGAAAGGACAAACCATGGTGGCATCTTAGCACCAGCAGCGGAGACACACTCAATAATAGTTATGAGCTCTAGATTATCGCTATGGACCCGATAACAATCTGAATCTTCTGCAGAAAAAATGAATTTTGTCCCAGCATTTTTCCTTCCCCCGCCCATCTGATTCCCTTTCTCATCCATATTCCAATGATGCTCCGGTGGAATTTTATCATAGTCATCATCAAGTTTCTTCTGCATCTCAAAAAACTCCCCAATGGTATCCTTGTTGAAATTTCAAGCACATTTTGGATCCAGTCCACTTGCTCGAGATATACGGAGGGATGGATGACGATGAATGAAGCGATAATGCCATTTTCGTGATGGGAGTTGACCAGTTATTTCCTTAACAGATGCACGCAACTTCGCTGGGTGGATAGGAGTCACGGATGTGGATGCCAGGTTGCACCAGTCAACAACAGTTTCCTCCTGTGCAGCGGATAACAATTGCCGACTCTCCTGGGCAAGCCGACGAGGCTTATGCACTCCCAAGCATCTATCACTTAGTGTCTGATGTGATACCTAGACCAGTTGAGTGAATAATCACATGATAAATCATGACTCACATTTTGCTCCTTTGCTGCAGCTGCAATGGATTTGTATAGCCCATTTGCAATTCCCTGAATTGCAGCTTGAATCCACGACTCATATGTAGGGTCTGACGAAGCTCGCAGCTTTCCTCGTCTACCGCTGATAGACTTGTGAATGCAGACCAGCCCCATGACCAGCAGCACAGCACCAGTTGGCACTGGTGTGTGCAGTATTGAAACTCTGTCACGGCATATATCAGCAAGTGACATTTCTGCATGACTTCAGCACTTTCAACCATCTCACTCAATTCTGCTTCAATTGTATTTGTTCAACCTCGTAATGAATTGTATTAGAGAGAGAATGATATCTATGTTAAGAGTTTTGTGAAAGTGCCGACTTCTGGGGGGTGCCGAGTGTATGGGAACAAATAGTAAACAAGGTCAGCCACAGTCGCGAAACCCAGAAAGAGACAGCGGAGTCGCAAATAGTTCGATTAGATATTGTATCGCTAACAAATATATATATATCAATATGTCATCAACTGACCCGGTGGACGACATTCTTGAAACCCTGCAGTGCGTCAGCATTTCAACTTCAGAATTTATACTGGTGCTTCTCTTGAGTGAAAAATATAGTGTTCATCTGGCTGTAAAAGATATCCTCTTGAATGGACGTGAAATTGTTAATGCTCTTACAAAACAAACTTCAAGTACTGCATCAAAATGGGCTACTGATATTACAAAGGACATCTGTGCACGGGAAATTTGTAACCTTGCTGCTAAGGGTAGTGGAACCCATTTTGATGTGACACACACTACGGTGAAGCAACTGGAGGATTTTAGGGTGGCCGAGTTAGCCAGAATCATGGAGAAATCTGTGCTGGTACTAACATGGAACTTACTTGAGAGCATGCTGTCTGGGGGAACACAATCTAAAGTAACCATCAGGGGAGATCATGATGGTGATGTCATTGTGGAAAATAGCAACAGTGATGAAGAGGCTTACTGGGAGGAGATTGGGGAAGGGGATCTCGAGGGATCATTGATATCAAGGCTTGCCAACATGGAAATTGAGAGAACCAAACTGCAAAAACATTGGGCAGCAAAGACCTTGCTCGTGTGTCATTTCTTCTTGCAACATATGCCTATGACAACTTTGATGTAGACCTGAAAACTCATGAGCACAAAATTGAAAGTTCAACAGAATCTCTCAAGCATCTAACATCAGGTCTGATGTTCCCACTGCAGCACAACATCTCCAAGGAAGACCTTAGGTGTTCCAAAGAGTTGTGGAAGATGTTGCTGTTTAATACCCAAACAGAACTACCACCAAGGGAGGGATGGGCAGATCTGTTCGTTCTTCAAGTGGACACACCTGATGACTCAGCCATGATAGATTTAATTCAATACATTGGGAACAATTATATAATCTATATATTTTATGATGTATTTTTTTTTACATATTTGCGACTCCACTGTCTCTTTCTGGGTTTTGCGACTGTGGCTGACCTTGTTTACAAACATTTTTTTACAGCCACTGGTGGAGAGGTTGGGTGGATAAGGTTGGGCTGGGTTTGAAAGATTTGCGCATGTTTCCGGTTTACTAAGTGCTGTACTGCCGCCCCTTACCTCTCCAGCAGTGGTGGGGAGGAGCCTGACCAAGCAGTGATATTTAAATTGAAATTCAAGATACATTGCCACCAGAGTCTCTAAAGAGTCTAAAGGTCACGATTTTGAATCAGTTGTCAAACTAATCACTAGTAAGTATCTCGTCGGTAGACAGGGCTTGCATGTGCTAATATTATACTACTAATCAGTCATTTATAGTGTGTATATGTCTTGCATACACTTCACAGTTCTCGTGGTCTGTGGCCCAGAAGAAACAGAACACAGACAGTGAGTGCTGACATCACCAAAATTACTGAATCCAGACATCACATGATGTGTTGAATTTTCTGATGCCACCAACTACAGTAGACTATCTCATAATGCATCACATTTTGAATGGTCCCACTGGGGGGCAGTGAGAAATTGTCCCATAATGCAAATCAGATAATGCATAGACTTGCATGGTCATTATGCATTATGGGATAGTACTTTTGGCTGGTTGGGTCTTCAAGGGTTGTGTTTGGTTCAATATTTTTTAGTGTACTGGCTATGTACATTGTGAAGGAACTCATTCCACCTCATTCCACATACATAGTATCTACAATGGTTGCAGACAAACGAAAACCACAAGACAAGCCACCACCCATGACCCTATCAAAAACAGCCAAAAAAATTGAATGCCAATGACACCCCAGCAACCTCTGCACAACCGGCAGCTCACACAGCCGCATGCCAAAATCTCACTCTCAATGACTGGTTGACAGTCTTTGCATACATTGATGCACACCTAGTGATGTGCAAAGCCCAGCCTCAGGCTGTGGGTCAAGCCTGACCAGGCCTCCTTAGGCCAAGCCCAGCTGGGCTTTGAGGGCGGCTTAGTAGGGCTCAAGGCCTGGCCTCAGGTATGTGCAGGCCAGAGCCAGGCCCTTAGGCCATGGATTTCATACTAATTTTCATATCTGTACATTGATTGCCGGATAACTGCACAGTTCATCGCGCCTCTGTCCTGGGGTACCATAGCCCAAAGAATGAATGCTACAATCCCCTTAGCCCCACATGGCTCCGCGCATCAACTCTGATGGCGAGGAAGCGCCTGCAAGACGACCAAAATGGGTTGCTGTGCCATCAGCAAAGGTAATCAGTGTGGATAACACTGCTGACCTCAAATTGCATTCCCACAGAAGGGCTCATGGTGCCACCAATGCTGTATTCTCACGCATCCAAACTCCCACCATTGTCAATGACATTGATGAGGATGATGTTGACTGCTGACATTCACAGTAAACCAAATAAATGGCTCACCAAAGGTATGTTTTCTATTGTTTTGCCAGTACTGACTTCATGAATCATCACAGGCAAAAAATGAGCTTGCACTCCTGACCATGGCAATGACAAACTGTCTGCCACAGGGTGTGGAGCCATACCACAGGCTAACATTGATGAGGGTATGGACATGGATGGATTTCTCAAGGACATCCAAGTTATGGACATCGACAAGCTCAAAAAACTGTGCCAAGAGCAGCGACACCAGGATATCAATAATTTTTTTTCAGCACCTTATGTGGGTGACAAAGCCAAGAAGCACCATAATTGTTTAATATGTAGGTAAGTTCTCACATTTGTCTTGCTTGTGTTGTACCACTAACTATGCAATAGTAAAAAAATGAAAAAAAGCTATTGGTTTTGTCAATGAGGTGATGACTCTATGCCACCACATGGATGCTTTGCACTGCATAAGCATTGCTGATGCTATGAGGCAAGACATCACACTGACTTGATCCATTTACAGAACGAATATATCCAATGGGCCTGACACCAACAAATTTATATCAATGCTACTGAGGGACACAAAGTGTCATAAGCTAGATGTTGTTGCAGAATCTCAAGCTCAACTTGATGCCCATCTTTCTGAGAAGAAACCAAAGGATCATGTGTCATACCATATTCAGATGCACTCTTCCAGGAGGCCACTATCCAATGGCTAATTGAAACAGATCAGGTGTTATGACCAGTGTTCACTGAATGGCAAAGACTAATACACAACCACTAGGACTTGGTCACAGATGATGAATAAGGCAAGATAGGATTGATGCGTGAACATCTAGGCCTACTACAAGTGTAGCAAATGAAGAGGTTAAGGTCTAAGGAGTACTTATGCTAACTAGCCTACTTATATACATAACATTGAAAAGGAGATATCTGAGTATGAAAGAAATCAGCCAACTGAGAAAAGAGTTGTACAATACTGTGGATGACTGATTATGACATCAGTGATATATAAGCGATGAGTAATACAGTGACTAAAGAGAAACCCAAGATCTGACTGGTTCTTCTTCTGGAAGCGAGATTGTTCTAGCCCATGGAGTAGGGGAGCCAATCAGGAGAAACAACGGGTGATATGTGAAGAGGTGAAGTTGTGACAGGAAGCGAAGTCACGTGACCAGTTCGGTAACTAGAAGTAGCCGGAGGAAAACTGAGAAATGAAAAGTGATTTGTGTTTGGAATTCAGTGACATCAGGTATACCATTTATGCTTGTCATCTATACGAAAACATGTTTATGTGTTCACCCCAGCCTATTGATGCACTCAATCATAAGTCTTTCAAATACATGATTGACACAGCTGCACAAGCCACCAATGGGGTCAAAATACCTGGTCGACTGACAGAGATGGCAGGCTATTATTGATCTTTTCAAATGTAATCTTACCAATCTTCACAACCAGCTACTTATATGTATTCAGATCCATGTCCTCTTAGCTTGCTAATGCCTGATCACTTTAGAGTGAGGCAGGTCAAAGGCTGAGTAAACCTGACATGTGATGCATGGAAAGTGGAGAATGTTGACGGCTACTTTGCTGTTACAGGATATTGGGTCAAGGAGTTGTTGTCACATGAATGGAAGGTACAAACTGCTCTTCTTGGTCTCACCCAGCCTCAACAATGCACACAATGGGACACAGCTTGGACAGGCTCTTTTCATAATCATGAAACGAGTTGGTATTGCCCATAAGGTGCAGTACCAAAGTTTCATTCACATTCACTACACTGACATGTTCATAGATCAGTTATGTTACCTGCGATAATGATACTATGATGGCCCATTTTAGTATGCATATTGAAGAATTCACAAAGAAGACACTCGACCATAAGAAACATTGTCTGTGGTAAGCATTTCAGAGAATTTGTTTGCAAAGAATGCTTGTCATCTCCCTTAGCTGCCTCGCACATATCATTAACCTCGCAACACAGGCATTGCTCACAGCTCACAGCAAGTCTGAACATTTCGATCTAACAAAGCCTGACATGGACCTGGTTGCTTCATGTGGAACGCAGCACAATGTAGTTGGATTAGTTCGTGCTATACATTAAGGTTTGGGTTTATATTCCTTTTCTCACTTCATGACTGACTGAAGGTTTGCTCAACAGGAATGCTCTTTGGCCTAGTGTAAAGAGCTTTTCCACAATATTCAGCTGCATGATGAAGATGGTCATGTACCAAGCAAGGGGTCCAGGTAGCTATTGATGGATATGAAAGTTTGTTGGTTGTCAACTCATGTTATGCTTGAATAAGCAGAGAAGCTCAAGGATGTATGTTGATCATTGGTCCTAACCTTTCTGCTATCTGATGTGCATTTCTTTCTGACAGGATGTAGACTACTTTGTTGGCCAGATGGGACTTCTTGAGAAGGACCCACACAAGTGCAAGAAGATCACTGATCTTGAGCTTATGGCATCTGAATGGAATCAAGTCAAGCTTTTACTTGAGCTGCTAAGTGTGAGTGCTTCATTGTAGTACTAGACCCATACCTGTACTTATATGCAAGTAGCATGCCGATAATACTCAGCAGGCATTCTTGACTGACCAAGGGCCCACACTCCATCTAGCATTGCCTGCTTTGGAAGCACTGTGGAAGGCATGGTCCACTCATCACAGCCATGATAAGTATGCCAACTTTCAAGATGGACTGGCTGTAGGAGTGGTGAAAATTTCTGGGTACTATGAAAAGTCCGCAGACTCTGATGCATACATCATTGCAATGTGTACATGATACATTGTATAAAGCTGATTTTGCTCAACTAGAAACCTGCAGTACTCAATCCTCTTCAAAAGGCAAATCACATTCATCAGTATTGGGGCAAACACCTGTATCATGATGCTCTTGCTCATGCAGAAGAGATAGTAGGTCTTTCGTAACATTTGCTTGATCATGTCTCATATCCTATTAGTACAAAGAGTATTATCAAGAGATGTATGGCAATGGTGTTCCAAAACCTGCGGCAGTGAACAATATTGTCAGAGGTAGCCACAAGCTCATGAACCTCATGTGGGAGCTATCGGACAATGATGATGACATGATGACATCCACTCCTACAGCTTCAAGTTCCACCTACGATCCTGCAAAGCCATGGCTGCAAGACTTCAATGCTTACCTTAATTTGAAGGACCACCTTGGTGGACAATTCATTGTCCAGTGGTGGGCAGTTAATGCTCCTTATTATCCTGTCTAGGCTGCAATAGCGAGAGACTTCCTCTCAATAATGGGGTCTTCAGTGTCAAGTGAGTGGGCCTTCTCATCTGCTGGCATTACAATCAGTAAGTGATGGAACCAGTTGAAATCTGACATCGTTGAAGCTCTCCAGTGTCTCAAGTGCATGATAAAGAGGGACCTCTTATTTCAAGACTCGGGTGACCCATGTATTACAACCAAAGTTACTGATATGGATGCCAAAGGAAGGCTTGACTCTGAGGAAAGGGAAAGCTGGAATACCATGATTGAAGATGTAGAAGATGATGGTTTAGATAGCAATGTTGATGATACCAAGGATGCGGAGGTACAGATACTAACACTAGATGAAATTTGAACTTTTTCTGGTGACAAGCCCTGGCCTTGGTCAAGCTGAGCCCTGGCCAAGCCTGAGCCATGTCAGGCTGAGCCCTAGCCCTGGCTTTTGAGCCAAGCTGGGCCAGGAAAAACACTATGCACACCCAACAATATCACAATGTGATACTGTGAATCACTTCAAGAGCTTTTAGTCAGGGGCTTTAATTTTCATGCAGTCAACCTTATCATGCAAATTGAAGGAATGTTTGACTCTGGAAGCACACATCAATGACAATCCAAATGCTTTGTCATCAAAGCGATCGTGTACTGTAACAAGACCCGATGTTGATACAGCACTATTTTTGTGGGTCAAGCAGATGGAGGAGAAGGGAGAGCATGTCAATGGACCAATGCTCAAGAAAAAGTAACAGAAATTTGAAGAACTGCTTGAAGTGCCAGAGGATGAGCAGCTTTCAGGAGACAGGTGGTTGCAACCATTTTGTAAAGCTTACAAGATATGTGAGCATCAATGGTATGGGGAAGCAGGGTCAGTTGACCTTGATACTGTTGAAGTTGAACATAAATGATGCAAAAAGATCTTGTCTAAATTTGCACCACAAGATTGGTGGAACTTTGATGAAACAAGCTTGTTTCCTTGTACATGTTCTTACCTTCAATTATTGGTCAATAACTTACAACAATACAGGTCATTGTATCTAGTGCCCCACCAGATTGTGGTCTCACAACAAAGCAAATGAGTGGGAAAAAGAGAGAAAAGTTCTGCATAACTCTTGGGCTTGCATGCAATGCTGATGGGAGCGAGAAATTGGATGCAATCTACATCAGGAAATCCAAGAAGCTGTTACAGGGACTCAAGACCCCTATTGTCTCTATCAAATGTCGCTGTCACAACCATGTCACAATGTTAAGGTTGTGCTCAAGGGAAAGACAACTCAAAGGGCTTTGGCTTCAGCTTGTGCGCTGCACCCCTTATCCGGGAATGTGCCCTTAATTTCCGAGAGGCAGAGGGGATGTCTGATGGAAGTCCAGGTAAGTCTGGAGGTCAGACATAGGGGGAGTTTGGCAGAACTCTGGAAGGCTAGGAATGAACAGAGTAAGGCTACTGTGGACAAGTCTGGAGTAGAAACAGAAACAGAGTTAGACTACCCTAGGGTAGAGCCGGAGATATAGTCCTAAGGTTTTAACCCTAAGACTCAGAGGTAGACAAGAGATCAGACTCAAGTCCGGAGAAGCAGGAATGAGCAGAACTAATATGATATTCGAACTAAGGAGTACCGGAGTATTACAGGAGTTTATATACTGTAGGTGTCATGTAAGTAAATCAGTCAGCAAAGTAGAAGCTATGTATGAAGCATGTGGAAAGTCTATTAGTAAGTGTATAACGGATCAAAGCAGTGAAGTTGGAAATGAAGTACAAACAGACAGATCGGTAAGCAAAGCGGAAAGGACATAACTGGTAGCCAGAGAAACAGTTATTCTAAAAGGAGATAGTCGAGAGTGCGGAGATGAAGGCGGAGTGCTGGGCGGACAACAGGACAGAGAATCCGGACTTTAGTAGGGGAGATCTGGAATTCCAGATCCGGAGGTACGGGATATGACACACAACCACATGACTAAACTGTGCTGCACAGCATGACAGCTATTGGAGCAGGACAGATCCAGACCAGGATCATAGAAGCTGCATGCTTCTCCCTTATTACCCCTGCAAATACACCAGTAAAGCCTATCACTTATCACAACTGTGGTCACCCCTTGAAACATAGAAGCTGCAGCTTCTCTCTTATCACATGGATACCCTGGACCCTTACCATTGGACCGGTAACTCTTATCTCTGAGTCCTTATGACTCACATAGACACTTACCTAGTTAGGATGCTTTCCAGTCAGATAGACCTCCCCTAAACTCATGGGACAATACCTATATATACCCCAGTAGTTAGACCATGTATTCTCTAACTTGATCTTCACTTGTGTTATCTAGCTTCTAGTATCTGGTCTGGTGCGTGCTAGATTTTATCCAATTCTGGATGAACATCTTTCATCTGGTCTTAATGACAGTTCTCTGATGGACACTCTGTGTCAGAGAACTATGATACCTAGGACCCCACATCTCCTATCTGATCTCCCTTGCAGAGGGTAGTGAAATGAACCCCATCAAGTTGTCATATCCCATACCTCTGGATCCGGAATTCCGGATCTACTTCATTAAAGTCCGGTCCTCCATCTTACTATTCCGCCTGGTGCTCCACCTTCATCTCCGCACTCACCCCTGACTCCTTTTAGATTAGCTATTGCTCCGGTTACCGGTTATGTCCTATTCCGCTATGCTTACTGATCCGTCCATTCTTACTTCATTTCCGACTTCACTGCTTTGCTCCATTACACTTAGTAATAGACTTTCCACATGCTTCAGTACATAGCCCTTACCTTTGCTGACTGATTTACTTACATGATACCTACAGTATATAAACCCCTGTAATACTCCAGAACTCCTTGGTTCGAATATCATCTTAGTTCTGCTCATTCCTGCAATCTCCGGACTTGAGTCTCATCTCTTGTCCACCTCCGAGTCTTAGGGGTTAAACCTTAGGACTACTTCTCCAGCTTTACCTTAGGGTAGTCTAACCTCTGTTCTGTTTCTACTCCGAACTTCCATAGTAGCCTTACCCCATCCCCAAATAGTCTTCCGGAGTTCCGCTGAACTCCACCGACTTCTGTCCTCCTGGAATTCCCCAGACTTCCGTTGGACTTCCCCTCTGTCCCCCGGAAATTAAGGGCATGTACTCGGGTAAGGGGCGCAGCGCACGAGCTGAAGCCAAAGCCCTTTGAGTAACCTCTCCCTTGAGCACGACCTTAACACAAGTGCACTGTTACTCAGTGGTGCTGAGTGTAACAGAAGCCATGTGCTTTAAGAATAGCCCACTCAATTGGCAAGGCTTCTAATACCACAACAATAAGACTGCCTGGATGACAGCTGACCTCTTCGAAGAGTGAGATGCTAGTTTTTTGACTTGTGTAGTATTGAGCTCACAGGACTACAGATGGGTGAAGAAATTTGATTTCAAGATGCATAGTGAATGGTGACATGTGTGTCTATTTGTGGACAATTTTTCTGGGCACACAATATCTTATGAGCCAACAAATGTGCAGCTTGAATTTTTTGAGCCAAACATGACATCATTTGTGCAGCCTTGTGATGCAGGAATTATCTGCTGCTTTAAGGCACTGTACTGCCATAATTTCTGTACATGTGCAATTGATCTTGATGAAGCAGGTGAACATGACATTTACAAAATCAATCTCCTTGAAGGGATGATGATGTCTCATGCTGCATGGAGAGATGTCTCATCGACAATGATTAATAATTGCTGGGATCACACTCAGATTCAGCCATAAGTCATTTTATTTTCTTCACATTGTTATCATTCTTATTCAATTGCTATGTAGAGACCCATCTGCTCCAAGATCACCAAGTTCCTTGCCACATGCAGACCTGGCTGCTTGGCATGTTACCTGAGATTTTGCAACAACTGAAATGATGTTGCCAGAAGCAGAGACATGCATGAAAGAAATCCTAGGCACTCATTACATTGATGGTGATTGGAGGCCTGCATTCAATGCTCTGATGAATGCAGAAGGAGATGCTGACACAGCCACAAGTGCAGTCAAACAGCTCACTGTAGTGGGGGTTGCCAGTGGGACAAGGAGGAGCAGGCAGGAGAAGCAAAGCAAGGAGTGCCAGAGGTCTCAGGAGTTCCCAGGGTCTCACTACATACAGAACACATAGCACAGTAAGAGTAGAAGCAAGCAAGCATGTCAACATCCTCATCCTCTCTAGAGCATAGCACCTAGGCCAGGTCCATCTGGTGATGAGAGTAGGATAACGATCCACTGCATGATGGAACACACAAAGATAGTAACAGAAAAAACCTAAACCAGAATGGCTCACATTGGAAGACATTGCCTGCATATGACAACTCACATCTACAAAGCTTTCTAATATCCAGTGTATCATCTTCTGCTCATATTTTACCAGAACCTACTACAGGGAGGAAGGCCACAAATCAATAGTAATTACCCCCCTATGTCTACACAACATTTCTGCTCCTCTGCATCTAGAGCATTCCACTTGTGTGGGATCACCGCCAGAACACAAGCCAGATAGTCCTACAATGCACCTATGATCAGTGCAGTTTACACCATCACAATATGAGAGTGAGACAGACACCTTGAGGTCGACAACATCCTTTGTGCCCACCAGACCCATCCTAACATTTCGGCTACCACAACCAAACATGAGTAACAATAATCCATGCCCAATCCCATTTTTTCATGGAAACTATAGAGAAAAAGAAGAACCATCACTCTGGCTCGCACAATTCCAACTCGCACTACTGGACAGTTATGCAGATGTACAGTGGGTATGACAATTCAAAATGCAACTTGCACCAGGAGGAATGGTGGACCAATGGTTCAAAGATATCGCACCTCACTGGCGCAATCTCAGTCAGCTGGCTGCCAGGAGAATTTGCATTATGGTGGCCCCCACCAAGGACACCCAAGTATTCTTGGGCCCAACAGAAGGAACACATGTTAGCACAGGTGTTGAAAGAGGAAGAAATAGGAGTATGGCTACCAGGCAAACCTACAGGCAATTATGGCCACGTTATTTGGGCCATGAAGGTTATGCAGCTCACCATGGGCATGGGTGACAGCACAGGATTTTTGGTGGAATACAGTGCTGGAAGGAATTCCTAACATGCTTAAGGACCATATGATGTGCTCTTATGCATCATGGAAGGAATTCATGGATGACATAGAAAGTGTACTGGCAACCAAACTGAAGAGAGCCAAGGAAGAGCTAGACAAGAATTGAATGCACAACACCGACATTGCACAGCTTAAAGCTCAGAGCTCATCAGCTAATGTGACTGCTTCCCTTCCAGTTCTCACAACTATCTATGGACAACAATTGATCATCACAGCCATCGTACCAAGCACCACATGCATACACACCTAC